GATAATAAAATTTGTAATTATTGACAAAGCTCTTCACAAGAGGACAACAATACATTAGTAAATCAAATTTTAATTTGCATATTTCAAATTAGAAATAAACATTCGCAAAAGGTTTAACTAAGGCATAAGCAATTAATTAAAACAGTAAACGATTACAGTATATCTTTAAACAACTTGTTCGCAAATATTAACAATTGCGTATATTTTAATAACACATATTGATTTTCAACAGAAATGCAGATTCAAACTATTAACAAAAGTTTGGACAAACAAATATAGATTACGTAGAAGTTAACAAATTGAAACTGAATATTGTCTTAAGATTGTTGGTATAATTAATAACAATCTGCGTAAACGAAAAATACTTACTTGTTTGTCGAAAAGAGGAATTGTGAACAACACAAAGAACGATCGAGGCTTGCCAAAGCAATTCCCTGAAGACAATATTTTCGTGCTGTCAACGGTGCACAGTCTCTTCCCGGTAGTCTCCCAAGGTACAACGATCGGTGGTCAAATATTTGCACGAATATTCGACCCACGGCGAACTTGAACAACGAACGAAACTTTGACAAATGAAAAGAAGAATTTGAAGAACTATCTCTAATTGCCGATTAAATTCAGTACAAAATTGGCCAGATTCTGCCTTAATTTATAGGTGATAGAGATTCATTCATAGAGGGTTGCAATGGTTGGAAAAAGAAACAGAAAGTTGTGTCTGTTCTTTTCACCGAGTTCAAAAAACGTAGGAAAATTAATTGGTCATGGGCTAATTAATTAAATATTTGGTTTGGGCCAAATATTTTATTATTTAGATTTTGGGTCAACTAATTTGACCAATTATTAAATGTCCCCAAAAGTAATAATTGTGGACACCTAAACCCAAATTAGTCCTATCACTCGATCACATCGAGCGCACATCGTTTGAACTTTAACCATTTAATCAAGACAATTTTCATTCACTTTACTTCATGATTATGATCAAGTAAATAAATGAAATTAATCTTTACATAATTTAATTAATATTACTCAATATTGATTATTGGAAATCATGAAAATTCCAACAATCACAACACTTCCAAATTTATCCAACGAACGTATATTTGTGTAATATGATATTCATGTATTCAATGAGGTAGTATGACCTAGTTGCCCGTAAATATTTAAAAAAATGAGGGATATTTTGGTCTCTTAAAAAATAGAAGAAACCATAGAGGATTCGTCCTTTTAAATATAGTATAGATATAGAGATAGATATAAATATAGATATAGATATAGAAAATGTTACAAGCTTGTCATTAAACAATAAGCTAATTAAGTTGGCAAGGGATGACACGTATTGTAGGAGCAAATTGGCTGATTTCTCATACTATTGATTTGCCATGGTTTGCAATCTTAGGCCATAAGTAAGCTATATATATATATATATATATATATATATATATATATATATATATATATATATATAAAATACAAAAAGGTTTATACTTTATAGGTAACCAAAATTAGCACAAAACTAAAACCGGTGAATCAACTCACATACTCATACTTGAGGTTTAGAATGATTTCATTGTTTGAAATCGATGTGGTTAGCATTTTCGTGGACATGTTTTTGGGGACATTTTTTTTTTCTACACCAATCCGTCCAACTGTTTTGAAAAATAGGGTAGTTTTTTGGATTAGTTCAGTATTACAATAAAGCGTTATTTTAAATAACGCCTTATAATAGCCGTCCGAGTAGACTTTGATCAACGGCGCACCGAACGGTCATATTTAAACTGGACGATTTGATGACTCTTAAAAGGCGTCATTTGAAATGATAACCTTTGACCTGCCACACAGGATAAACACGTCACTCACAATGACCCCTTTTAAGAGCCAAGAGCCGTTGATTCCGTTTATATCAAACGGCTAGAATTGAGATGAATTCTTTTTTTCCTTAATTCTTTTTATTGTTGTTAAATTGTAATACTTAGTTAAACTTTAATTTTCATTTAATTATGTGATGTAATTTAAATTTTGTCCTTCATATACTTATGTAATTTGTTTTATAATTAACTATAAAATAATATAAAATTAATTAATTAACGTTACAAAATAATTAATATTTTCTTGCATAAGTTATCAATAAATAACTATTTTGTCAATTATATTACTTTTTTAAAAATATTATTTTATTGAATAAAAATAATAAAATGCCTAATTATTAGAAAATATTTTCTGTCCAAATTCTTTAATTTATTTAATTTGTTTTGATTGAATAACTAATTGGAAGAGAATAAGGCAGGGAAAAAATAGGTGGCTGTGACTGCTGTTGAAGGACATTTTGCAGAGAAGAGAGAGGAGAGAGAGAGAAGGGGGAGAAGGGGGAGAAGGGGCGTGAAGGTGCGTGAAGGTGAAGAGAGCGGAAAGGGGAAAAAAGGGTCAAAAATTGGTAAAATTAAATAAGAAAATTTGTAACTAAGTAAATAAAAGGGTAAATTACAAACCCCTAAACTTAGATTAATTTACAAAAATCACTTTCATCTATTCGTAATTATCAAAAACCCCCTGGAGTTTGTTTATGTCTTACACCAATCCTTACAACACCAACCCTTACAAAGCGCCTTATCACGGATTTTTTTATTCCAGGGAATTGACTTTACACATATATTTTCTTTTATTTCTCACCTATTTAACAGAAGGTAAAATAGACTGTTGATGATGCTAAAATATAGCTCACCTAGGGTGGTGTAGAGAAAGGACTGTGAGAGCAAAGCGGATCAGTAGCTTAACAACTTGATGATCCTAAGGTCCTTGCGAAAAGAGCACACGTGAACTAAGCTGGGGGTTGGTCCGGCGGAAACCCCTCCGACGCTCAAGTCAGATGTACGGATCGTAGAGAGAGTACAGAGAATAAAACTCGAGGTGAATTGTCAATAATTAGAACGTACCTTTACGAATGAGTAAACCATCTATTTATATATCGTTGAATGGGTTGGGCTTACTTTGTTGGGCCCAAGCCTTATTTTGAAGGAGCTTGGGCTTTCGTGTAATGGGCCCACATGTATGTGATTGGGCTTTCTTGTAATGGGCCTAATTGGTAGATAAATTTGAGGGCCCATTGGGCCGGCCCATTTAGGTATATCATTAAGCCCCCCAACTCTCGATTCGAGACGGGGACGTGTGTAGAGGGATCCGGGTCGTGTCGAGAGTTAATTGCGGCGTTGATTGAATTGTTTCCATTGGCGGTGAATTAATTCCTTAATTTAAGTAAGGAATAATTGTATTTATTTGGCAGCGAGGTATATATTTAAGGGTTTTAAATATTATACCAGGGCCAGATAAATAGACTCCTTTTGCGGTGGAAAATATTAAACTTCAACTCTTGCAATAAATATGGGTATGTTTTTTTGAACTCTAGGTCTTCTTCTGTGCTATTTTTCTCTTGAAATTTTTTTTTGTGGTAGAGTAGAAATTTTTTGTTTCTTGATTGTTTTGTCAGTGAAAATTATTTTTCTCATGTCGAACTCGGGTAATTCGAAATCTTTGCGAATTAAACTTCGAGATCCGGTTGAAGGGGGCAAGAAAACTTTTGGTACAGTGGGCATGGAACGCGGGAATCTTGTGGTATCGAGTGCGAAAAATGGATCTACATCCGGAGGTGCGCGAAATTCCGTGCAGATGGGGGAGGTAGATCGCTTGGAGGTGGAGGGCGGCTCGAGCCGGGCTTCTAACCGCTCAAAAATGTGTGAGGGCGCGCGCTTCAAGGGTAGAGATAAGCCGAGCCGAGCCGAGGAGCTGGGAGTTGGGTCGGCGGCTGAGAAGGGGGGGACCAGCGCACGTGGTCCAATGGGAGGAAGCCACGTGCGCACGTCTGGTACCGAAGCAGAGCCACGCGCGCGCGTCGGGCGCTGGAATTGAAAGACGCACGCGCGTGGCAATCAATGCGCAGCAGCCGGGCGCGCTTCCCAAGCGACGCGCGCGCGCGTCGGATGGGCGGGTTGAGGCTGACGCGCGGAGTTTGGCGAGTGGGGAGGCGCCACGTGGGCGGGAACCGGTTGATGACGCGCGCGCGCGTGAATCAGCCCCTTTTGGGGTCACGCGCGCGCGTGAGAGCGCGTTACAGCTCGGTTTTGAGCCCGGTTCGGGTGAAATTGATGGGCAAATTTCCGAGGGTGCTGATGCGCGTGGTGTTTTAAACGGGGGAAGTTTTGGACGGCGAGAAATCATTGAATCGTGGAGTGACGATGTAGAAGTGCGTAACAATATTAATATTTGCCCTGCTGTTGATGAAGCGGATTCTAGTAGACGTCGCTATGGGCGTCGAGTCGTGGATTTTGGGAGTGATAGTGATGATTCGAATCAAGCTCCTTTGGCGAGTGATCATGCGGTGTCAAGTAACAAAATTGAGTCGACGGATGAAGAGGAGGAGGAAGATGATATTCCGCCAGGTGATGTTGAGGTTGACACGAGAAGGCAAAAGAAAAATAAGCCAATTAATTTGGACTTAGTTAATTTTGACAGTGTATTGACGGAAGAGCATTTGCATTCTATTCGTCGTTTATCTGGAGCGCCGAGTAATGTCGAGTTGTTGTTGCCTCGGAAGGGTGACCGTTTGTATTCGCCACCCGCTGGGTTTCATACGGTATTTTTGGGGTACTTGACGTGCACATCTCAGATTACACCGCATCCCACTTTGTTGAAGGTTTGCGAGGAATTCAAGATTGGGTATAGTCAGCTAACGCCCACTGCTGTTCTGATGTTCCAGGCGTTTCATTTTAGGGTGGTTCGAGTAGGTCTGCCTGTGTCTGTGAGTTTATTTAAGGCGTTATTTACGTTACATCGGCCCAATAAGATGCCTTTCTTTTGTTTTCATCCTCGCGTTCCTTACCGATTCGTGAAGAGTGTGAAGTTATCTTTGGGGAAATGGAAGACCTATTTTTTTTATGTGAGGGCTCCCACTTTTGACGTTCCCGTAGTTTGGAATCCTACCTGCGAGAGTTTCACGAAAACTACGAATATGGCGAAGAGGATTGAGGAATCTGGGTTGTGTGATGTGGAATTTGATCCGAGGGGTTTGATACCGACGGCGAAGGGTCAGCATCGTATATCCTTTTGTTGCCTTGACTTGTGGTTTTTTTTTTTTTTTTTTTTTTTTTTTTTTTTTTTTTTTTTTTCTTTTGTAGTTCTTTGGTAGTGTATACCCCATGTTTCTTATGTGTTTGTTATCTCTTGTAGATGGGGGTATCACCTTTGCGGCGCTTCGAGCTAAGGCGAATGGGTCGTCGAAGAAGGTTCCCTCTATGTTGGGAGGTTCTTCAAATGGTTTGCCTCGTGAGGAGGTCCATGTAGAAAGTCCTCGAGTAGTCGCAGATGACCGTAGCAGTGCTGGTGAAGTGGAGGGGCGTCCACCGACGAGGGATCGTGGCAAGGGAAAGAGGGTGGATACCGAGTATGTGGTTGTGCCTAAGCGTCCACGGGTAGAAGCAGAGGAGACTTATGCTTTCCATGGTGGGGGAGGGAAACAATTGTTTACCTATGGTGTGAATCGCGACGGTAAGGAGTCGTATTGGGATGTGTCAGACCATGATCTGCCTATGTTGAGTACCGAGGGATTCATTCGGGAGTATGATCGTGCTCGGATGTCTGGTAAGGGCCCTTCTCACATGTTGGAGTTAGCCGGTGGGGACATATGTCGGGTGAGTCTTTGTTTATTTAAAACAAGATTAGATGTTACTCCCTCTCTTCCTTGTGTAATTTTTTTTTTTATTTTTATTTTTATTTTTATTTTTTTTAGTTGGTAGCGACTTGGAGATATCTCGTGGAGCACGGTAGGAATGTGGAAGCTAGGAAGGAAGAGGATCGGGCTCGAAGTCAAGCGCGTGAGGATGAGCTTCTAAGCCAGTTGGAGGAAGCGCGGTCCGATCTTGCTCTACGCTCTGAAGAGCTTGCTCGGAGGACAGAGGAGCTTGCTGAGAGGACAGAGGAGCTCGAGGTTATCCGAGGTGATGCCAAGGCGTATAAGGATGATGTTCATAAGTTGAACGAATGCTACGACCAGCTCAAAGAGAAATATGAAGTTGAGAAGGCGACGGGGAAGAGGTTCCTCACGACATCAGGTGGTGTGGCTTATAGGGAGTCCGTCGTGGAGGAAACCAAGGCTAGCTTTCGACGTAGTGACGAGTGTGCTGCTATGATTGAGGAGCATGCATTGGCTGTGGTTTATAAGCCATTAGTGCGTGCTTGTCGCAAGTATCTGGGCGATGCGGGTGGTATCAGCGAGAAAGTGATTCGTGGGATGGAAGCTGGCATATCCGACGAAGAGGAGGATGAGGTAGATGTCAATGGGACGGGCACAAAGCTCGTGAATGATATGGTTGCGGATGATTCCACCGTGGGTGCGTCTTCCGCTCGTGGTAGGGGAGTTTAGACTTATCTGTTAGGATAGTTAACTTTCCCCTTTTATTTTTATTACTATTATTTTCCTTTTTTTTTTTTTCTGCTATGGATTTCGTAGTTTATTTTTATCGCTGATGTGGATGGGTATGTCCACTACTATTTCGTTTGAATTCTTCCTTGTTTGACTTTGAAGTTTAATATTTCGATTTATTTATTTTGACATTGTCGAGAATTAATGCGTTGCTTATATGTATTTACATTAGCATATACGCGATGTACTTGAGGAGGGGATCAGTCTCCCAAGGTTTTTGGTATGGGTCGTGCCCTTTGTTCGGACCGCGTGGGTCTTAACTATATTTGTCCGTGGCCACGATTTAAAATTAATACCTCGTGAAACAAATAAAGGGACTTAGACAATCCAGCTGGCCAGGCTATATGGATTTTCTAAGTCTCTCTAAGTGTTTGTAAGGTTGTTTTGAATTGGACTCTTGGTAAGAGGTAACTTGTGTAGATGTGATAGCACAAAGAGTAAGGCAAAATAGAATTGATTAATTCGATGATAGCAAAGTTGCATTGTTACAAGCCTATGTGAGGCGAATGTAAATAAATAGTTAATATGATAGGTCTGCGCGCGTGGCGAAGGTAAATAATTACCGCTAAACAAATAAATTGTCTTGAGAAATAAAAAAAAAATTAAGTGATTGTACTACGCTTGTTCTTCTTCCACGTCTTCCTTGTACTCGTTCGTTTAGATATGCTGATGGTAGGCTGACTTGTTTTGGTGTCTCTATGCCTGTCAAGTATAATTGAGAGAAAGAGAATTTTGTTTAAGCATTTGTATCAAGGACTTAGTAATTGTAGCTAAGGTGATGTGCATTGTCAATTCACGTACCCTAACACGGGGATGGTTTTCTTCCTCGCACTTCGAGATATGAAATCAATTCGTGAGTTGTTGTGGTTTGCTTTGTGATTGTGTCTGTTAGATGGAATGATTTTGTCATGTTAGTAAGAGTAAACGAAGGCATGCGTGTGTTGTAGTCTATTGGAAGTATTGTTACCCTTGGCGATGTGGTATGGGACGGCTTCGCTCTTTGGGCCAATGATTGAGCAATATGCATCCTCTCGTAATTGACTCTTACTCTGTTAAAAGATGGTGAGATGTGAATACGAATTGCTGATGTAAGTAAATTTAGCAGCCCCCTAGTTTAGGTGGGACGTTCACGTACCTCGTAATGTAGTAGAAAGTTTCCAAAGCATGTAGAAACGGTTTTGCGAGACGAGTGACGTGGAAGACCGCTGAGCCTGCATGGGTAATGTTTTGTAAGTAATTTTCATATATGGGGGGCATAGGTGGTTACTTCAACGGATTTGATTTAGGTAGATGTATACCTTAGGCATAGAACCGTTTGAGGTTCCCTATATTCCAAGTTCTGGGTATAGGGTGTCCGTCAGTGTTCTCGAGGCGATATGCTCCGGTGTTGACCACTTTGGTGATTTTATACGGTCCTTCCCACTTTGGGTCGAGCTTACCGATGGGGTGGGAGGCTTCAGCTTTTCGGAGGACTAAATCTCCAACTTGAAAGGAGCGAGGGCGGACCTTTGAGTTATATGCCTTGGCCATGCGTGATTTATACATCTGTTGCCGGATGTATGCGATCTCACGTAACTCATCTACGAGGTCTAGGCTTCCCCGCATAGCCTCTTCATTAGTTGCTGGGTCATAGTTGGTGATTCGCCAAGATGGTTCTCCAATTTCGACGGGTGCGATAGCCTCTGTTCCGAAAGCTAGATTGAAGGGCGACTCTCCGGTTGCTGTTCGTGGGGTTGTGCGGTAAGCCCATAGCGCGTTAGGCAATTCGTCCACCCACTTCCCTTTGGCACTTCCAAGCCTTGTCTTGAGGTGTTGGAGTATGGTGCGATTCGTGACCTCCGTCTGGCCGTTAGCCTGTTGATTGGCTACGGATGTGAAGATGTCTAAGCCGAGGCACCAATTCTTTACTTTGTCATCGCAAAATTGGGTTCCATTATCCGTGATGATGGAACGTGGGATTCCGAAGCGGCACACGATGTTTTTCCATAGAAATTGGATGACTTCTTCTTCTCGCATGCGTGCTAAGGGTTCAGCCTCCACCCATTTGGTGAAGTAGTCCACTGCTACGATGAGGTATTTGCGTCCGCCTGTGGCGGACGGGAATGGTCCAACTAAATCCATCCCCCATTGGGCGAAAGGAATGGGGCTGTCAATTGGTTGCATTAACGCCGCTGGCATGTGAGTGATATTGGCATGCTCTTGGCAGGGCTTACACCTCCGGACTAATCTTTTCGCATCTTCATGCATCGTTGGCCAATAGTAGCCCTGCCGCAGTAGTTTGAGAGCTAAAGTTCTCCCGCTCAAGTGATTGCCGCAGATGCCTTCGTGTACTTCTCTGAGTACATAACCCGCTGTGGTCGGGTCGAGGCACTTGAGATAGGGGAATGAGAAACCTCATTTGTACAGTTCTTCGCCCACTATAGTGAAGCAGGCGGCTCTTGTTTTTAACTTCCGTGCTTCAGTGGGATCCGTTGGAAGTTCCCCCTTCTTGAGATACTTTAGAATTGGAGTGAACCAGCATGGTTCATCCTCCTCGGTGTAGTGTACTTCAGTTGGCGAATTTATCTCCGGCTGAGGTGAGGTGAGGAGAGTCACTTTCCGACTTCCGATGCTGGCCATGGAGCTCCCTAGCCTGGCTAATTTGTCAGCATGGATGTTATTTGATCGAGGTACTTGTCTTATCTCGTAGCTCTCGAACTTAGATAAGAGAGTGTGTGCGAGAGCTAAGTATTTGGCCATGGCGTCTTCTTTGGCCTCGTACACTCCGAGTACTTGGTTAACGATGAGCTGAGGGTCGCTTTGGATTAGGAGCTTGCGCGCTCCGGCTGCTAGGGCGAGGCGGATTCCCGCTATCAGTGCTTCGTATTCAGCGACGTTGTTTGAGGCTGTGAATTCAAATCGTTGAGCGTATTCGAACTCATCTCCATCAGGGTTCGTTAGTACGATACCCGCTCCCCCTCCTGTGGTAGTGGAAGATCCATCCACGTTGACAGACCAAGTAGGTAGAGAAGTGCTTTCTTCTACAGAAGTCATTTCGACTAGAAAATCCGCCAATACTTGCGCTTTGATGGCCGGGCGGGGTTTGAATTCGACCCCATATTCTCTTAGCTCTATCGCCCATTTTGCTAATCGCCCGGATGTCTGAGGACTCCTTAGTATTTGCTTCAGAGGATAATTGGTGAGAACCACCACTTGATGTGACTGGAAGTAAGGTCGAAGCTTCCGAGCTGCGTTGATGAGGGCGAGAGCGAGTTTCTCCATGTTGGTGTAGCGTTGCTCGGCTCCTTGGAGGGCGCGACTTATGTAGTATATGGGTTGGTGGCCTTTTCCTCCATCTCGGATGAGGACTGTGCTGACGGCATTAGCTGAGATAGCTAAGTACAGTAGGAGGGTGTCTTCGGGCTGAGGTTTCGTGAGCAGGGGTGGGGATGCTAGGTACGACTTCAGCTCAACGAATGCTTTTTGACATGCTTCATCCCATTCAAATTTCTTTCCTCCCCTTAAAATTTTGAAGAAGGGGAGGGCCTTGTCCGCTGATCGAGAAATGAATCTATTCAATGATGCCAAACAACCGTTAAGCTGTTAGACTTTCTTGATAGATGTTGGTGGAGGCATGGAGGTAATTGCTTCGATTTTTGCGGGGTTAGCTTCGATTCCCCGCTGTGAAATCATGTATCCCAAAAATTTGCCACCTCGAACTCCGAACGAGCATTTGAGGGGGTTGAGTTTCATTTTGTATTTTCGCAGGGTAGCGAAGCATTGATCCAGATCAGTTAGGTGGTCCGAGACCTTGACACTTTTGACGAGCATGTCGTCGATATACACCTCCATATTCTTACCGATCTGATCTGCGAACATGGCGTTCACAAGACGTTGGTAAGTGGCTCCCGCATTTTTTAATTCCAAAGGCATGACTCGATAGCAGTAGATGCCTTGGTCAGTAACGAAGTTGGCCCTCTCTTGATCTTCTGGTGCGAGCAAGATTTGGTTATACCCTTGATAAGCGTCGAGGCAGCTGAGGACCTCACATCCCGAAGTTGAATCGATGAGTTGGTCGATTCTAGGTAAGGGAAATGGGTCCTTAGGACAAGCTTTGTTGATGTCTGTGAAATCCACGCATAACCTCCACTTTCCCCCGGGTTTTGGAACGAGTACTACCTTCGACAACCATTCAGGATACTGAACTGGTCGTATATGACCCGCCTCTAGAAGTTTCGCCACTTCTGCCTTGATGTGCTTGTTGCGTTCGGGTCCAAATGTTCGTTTTCTTTATTTGATCGGCTTCAACCTTTTGTCGACGTTAAGCCGATGTAGAGCTACATGAGGGGGGATGCCCGACAAATCTTGAGCTTTCCAAGCGAACACATCTCCATTGTGCCGCAAGAATTTGACTAATTGCTTCTCCATCTCAGGATCTAAATCGGATCCGACGCGTAGGAGTTTGGAGCCATCTCCAGGGGTGAGCTCTATGAGCTTAAGCTCTTCGACAGCTGCTAGCTTGATGCTATCGTCTGGTACACTTATGAGGATTTCTTTATTGTCCTCAATGATCGCATTGACCCACTTCCGTTTGTCGGATTTTTGGGTGTCGTCTCCCCTTCCAGGTGGTTTAGGCTTCTTGGAGGGTTCTCGTAGGGCCCTTGCATAGCACTCTCGGGCGAGACGTCTGTCTCCAAGTATTTCCCCCATTCCATAGGGAGTAGGGAATTTCCACTTCTGATGGTAGGAGGAAGGTACGGACTTGAATGTATGGATGGCTGGCCTCCATAAGATGACGTTGTAGGGAGATGGCTTGTCGACGATGAGGAATTTGATTAGCTTGGTGATTTGACAAGGGTCTTCCCCTAAAGAGACGGGCAGCTCTACCTCTCCCATGGATAAAATGCCTTCTCCTGTGAATCCTTTCAGGGGTGTGGAGATGGGATTAAACCGGGCATTATCTATGCCCAGCTGCTTAAAAGCGTGGAGGTACATGATGTCAGCTGAGCTTCCACCGTCCACTAATATCTTCTTGACCAAGAAGTTGGCCACCGTTGTTGTTACTACCAATGCATCGACATGGTCTTCATCTGGACCTTCGAGGAGTTGAAGACTATGATGTGATCAGGTCTTCGTATTTGATATATGCGTGCGGATGGAGAAGCACGTTCTTGATTCATGTGTGCTGATCGAGCGAGGGTGCGTCTTGCATTTTGTGAATCGCCCCCCATCGGTCCTCCGGAGATAAAGGAGATGATTCCCCGGGTAGGTTGTTATCATTGTTATCTAGGTCACGTCGATGACCCCCATCTTCTCATCTTTGTTGTTGATCTCAATTGTTATCTCGGCGTGGAGGATCATCACGGCGTTTATTTCGCGGCTTATCGATGTACTCGCCTAAATGGCCCTGTTTGATCAGCCTCTCAATTGCCGCTTTGAGTTGTGCACATTCCTCTGTAGTATGCCCTTTGTCCTTATGGAATCGACAATAACGATCCGACTTTTCTCGCTTTGCATTCGGCTGCATAGGACGTGGAGGCTCCGCTAAACCTCTCTGTTCTATCACGTGAAGGATTTCAGTGAGGCGAGCGTTTAACGGAGTGAACCTATTGTAGGAGGAGGAGGGTTGGCTTTGAGGTGGAAGTGGTGGACGTCAGTCATCACGTCTCCTATTGTCCTGACGGTCATCTTCCCTTTTTCTTTTAGGAGGAGCATGGGTAGAGGCTTCCTCTATCCGGACGTACTTTTCTGCTCGATTTAGCAACTCTTCTAGGTTGCCTGGGGGTCTTCCGGCGATAGATTCCTTGAATCTACCCGGTTTCAAGTTCTGCTGCATAATCCCGGAGAGCATGTCTTGCCCCACACTGGGGACTTCATGGACGGCTTCTACGAAACGCTTAATGTAGTTGCGGAGCTTTTCGTTATCTCTCTGTACTACTGAGAAAAGATGAGCTAGGGTCTTGGCATATTGTTTGTTGATGGCAAACTGGTTGGTGAACCGGGTTGACAGCCGAGCGAAGGTGTCAATCGACCCTATGGGTAGAGAATTGAACCAATTCATTGCCCTCTTGGAGAGAGTGGTACGGAATATTTTGCACATCGCAGCATCCGTCGGGCCATATAAATCCGCCATGGCACTGAATTTCTCTATATGTTCCTGCGGGTCGGTGGTCCCTTCATATTGAGGTAACCCCGAGATCTTTACTCCTTGAGGTAATACCTCGTTGAGAATGTCTATGGTGAAGGGACTACGTCTTGTTGGGAGAGGCATTCTTTCACCCATTTGATTATTTCGTTGGGGGAAAAGGTTTTGGCGAGACATTCGGCTGTTTACCTCGCCTTCTCCCTCATTGAAGAGAGGGACTCTCGGTGGTGATGCGTTCCCCCGTGGGGGTGAGCGCCGACGCTGCTGTCTGGGCTGTGCTCCTCTGTGATTAGTAGATAGCTGCACTCGGGACCGTGGGTCCGAGGTAGAGGAGGAGACACTTATTTGATTCTGGATTGGCGGTGGGGCCACAGGTGGTACTATAGGTGGAGCTTGCGCTGGTATCGCATTGGGAGCGTTTGCTCCCATCGTGGCGATATATTGAGTTACGGCCTCCGTGGCGGCGCAAGTTGAGGCTTCTGCTATCATGCGTTGGAGCGCGTCTTCGGTTATTTGAACCGTTCGAGGAGCAGTGAGTGGTGGATCGGCGAGTGGTAGGTCCCGAGGAGGGATCACCTGAACCTCGCGAGGTGGATCTGCAGCACGTGGAGGAGCTGGCTCCGTGGCACGTGGAGGAAGTTGCTCCGCGGCGCGTGGATGAGGTGGCATGCCAGATCCTCCACGGGCTGGGAGGTTATTAGCTGTGTCGTTTTCTCTCCGAGCTGACGCCTCAGGAGGATCTTGTTGGCTACGTGATCTGGTTTGCATCGTTCCCACAGACGGCGCCAAAATGATGATTCTAAAATATAGCTCACCTAAGGTGGTGTAGAGAAAGGACTGGGAGAGCAAAGCGGATCAGTAGCTTAACAACTTGATGATCCTGAGGTCCCTGCGAAAAGAGCACACGTGAACTAAGCCGGGGGTTGGTCCGGCGGAAACCCCTCCGACGCTCAAGTCAGATGTACGGATCGTAGAGAGAGTAGAGAGAATAAAACTCGAGGTGAATTGTCAATAATTAGAACGTACCTTTACGAATGAGTAAACCATCTATTTATATATCCTTGAATGGGTTGGGCTTACTTTGTTGGGCCCAAGCCTTATTTTGAAGGAGCTTGGGCTTTCGTGTAATGGGCCCACATGTATGTGATTGGGCTTTCTTGTAATGGGCCTAATTGGTAGATAAATTTGAGGGCCCATTGGGCCGGCCCATTTAGGTATATCAACTGTGTACATTTTCTGTTAAAAAACTCGATCAACTTTAATTAGAGGGGGATTTTGGTTATTACGGATAGTGAGGGTATTTTTGTTATTTAGCCTAAGTTCATGGGGATTTTCGTAAGAGTAAAAAGCAGTTTGCCCCCTAAACTAATGGTCGTTTTGCACTTTGCCCCCCAAACAAAAAAAAAATTTACACGGGTTTACCTAAACTCGTTAGTCCGTTGCAGGGTGCCCCCTAAACTCAATTTTCCGGCAATTTTGAACGGAATGTTATACCATGTGATTTGCAGGGGTATATTTGTCTATTCACTAAAATTCTATATATTAAATATAAATTAATCATTAAAAAACAAAAATAAACAAAAAGAAAAAATAAAAAAAAAGAAAATTATCACTTTCTTCCCCCACCAACCTCCCAAACCCATTCCCCTGCCAAAAGAACAGAGAGCATTAACGAATGGAGCAATTAAACTTCATCTCCATCCATAACAAGTTGTTCAATCAATTCTATGCAAAAAATCAGCCCTATTCTCCCAATTTCCCTCTTTTCACCCCAAGCAATCTCGCCCCATTTGAAGTGAAATTCAGGCCGATCTACCTACCAACCTCCCGATCTACCTAGCAATTCGATCAAACAGTGTAAGAAGAATTAGGGGCTTGTCGATCGGATTCCCCGCTCGTCTGCGTGCGCATCCGCTGTTCCGATTCTAAAATTCCGACCGGAACGGTGAAAGCAAAAGACATGTTCGCAGCTGCTTTTCAAATCGACGACCCAGTTTCAATCGACAGAGCAGTTTATGCTCTGAAGAACTCCGAACAGGATCTTGGAGGTGCCCCCGCCGGAGGAGCTGATGGACGCCGTGGCAATGGTGGATTCGACAGGAATGTTTGTCTGCCCGCGCACAGGTATTGCTTTGTCGGCGTTGATGAAGCTGAGAGGGAAGGGGGTTATTAAGCCGACGAATCGGGCGGTGGTGGTTAGCAGGATTCATGGATTGACAAATTTATTTGTGCAAATCACACGTGCAAATGACATGATATAACATTCCATCCAAAATTGTCGGAAAATTGAGTTTAGGGGCACCGTGCAACAGACTAACAAGTTTAGGTAAATCCGTGTAAATTTTTTTTGTTTGGGGGGCAAAGTGCAAAACGATCATTAGTTTAGGGGGCAAACTGTTTTTTACTCTTTTCATAAAATAACCTAAATAAAATAAGGAATCATAGTGCATTTTTTCCCGGTTGCAGTGCGATTATTCATTTGTTAAGAAACCCTTTAACTTTTTCCAAATTTTAAAACTTTGCACATCGACAAAATTTTTATGATAATATCAGTTATAACACAACAATTATCAATATGGCCGAAACCAATTTCGATTTTGAGATTAAAAAATACGTGTTTGTCGACTTTCATCTTTTTTAATGCATTTCGTGTAATCCTACACAAAATGATTTCTTATGTGTTGGTTGTTCCATTTCGTGTGAAATTACACGAAATGCAAGGTTGCATTTCGTGTAATTTCACATGAACTAGCACAAAAAAAAATGTTTTTTTTTTGGACTGTTTCGTGTAGATTTACATGAAACACATGGTTCGATTTCGTGTAAATCTACACTAAACAAACCAAAAAAAAATTTAGTCATTTATTGCGTGCTACGAAGCATGAAATGAAGAAGTTCATTTCATGCTTCGTATATGAAACAAAGGCATTTTTTTTCTTTTTTTTCGATTAATCATAAACTTATTCTGATCGATGTAATTTGTTAACTAAACAACAATAAGACGTTAAAGTTACGTATAGAAGTAGTTTTTATCTCAAATTGTTGTCGAAATTGCTCGTTTAATTAGCGAGAGTTCGAAGAGGGTTTTAGAGGATTTTGGTTTTCTTGAATAAAAGTTATAAATCAAATAAAGTCGCACTAGAAGCCAGTAAAATACACACTATGAATAGTATTTCAGTAAAATTAATGGAATAAGGTGGAGATTAAGTGAAGTTAAGTAAAATGTATATATAAATAGAGAAAATACATTTTTAGTGAGGAAGTTGAGTGAAATATATAAATAAATACATAATATAGTATTTCTAAAGTAATAAAATTATTATAGAATAAAAAAAAAAAAAAGCGGGTTGAACCGGTTGAGTCGGTCCAAGCGTGATCTAATTGCCTATCTAATTTGGCATCCGGTCCAATTTTAAAAACATTGAGGAAAAGTAAAAAGGTCTACATTCAGACGGATGGCATTGAGAAGGCGACTCGTGGATCGCATTTTGGTTACTGGTTTTTTCTTTTTCATTTTTTTCAAATAATCTCTACTTAGAGATACATGGTTTTTTATGATAATTCTTATGTAATCTATTTCTTGGCCATTGGTCATCTTCTCCGGCCACCTTCTTGTCAACATAAATGCCCTCACGCTCACAACGAAGAACCACATATATGGTCTCCTATGTCATTTTCCCTCATCGTTTGAAACCACGGTCATCATTACCATTCCAATTCGTTTACATACTTCACGAATCCATTTCACTAAAGCTTATTTTAATTTGTTGCAAATCCTTCTGACATGGTAAATTCATTTGAGCAATCCACCTACATAAAAGTGGACAACTTAATAAATTTGCAATAGACAAATTTCGACACACATGTGTCGAGAATGTGCACAAAAAACGACACACTTGGGTTGAATAATGGGTTATGTACAAATTTAGGTTCTAACCAATTTTGACACACATGTATCGATTTTTCAGTTATTTTCAACACATGGGTGTCAAATTTACCATAGATATAGACACATTTGTGTCAAAATTAACGATATTTCTTTCTCTTCCATTTTCGACACACACATATTGAAACGGAAATGACAGCAAAATTCAACCTGCATGTGTCGAAAATAGGGGCCGGTTTCACCGAAAAAAAAACTTTAAAACCGACTTTTAAGCTTAAAGTAGACATGGATACATACCGGGTTCTCCTTCCATGTAACGTACCATTTTGTTATCTTACAACTCCATTTTTGAAGTTTTACCAAGTTTTGAATTTTTTGGATTTGAGATTTTTGGAGGGTTTGTTGTGAAGAAGGAGGATGGAGGAGGGATTTGTAAAGAAGGAGAGGGTTGTGAGAGGTTTTGTGTGTTTGGTATTGAAGAAAGAAAATGAGATTT